TTTTTGTCTTTTTCCGTGTCCGGCAACGATCGCAACCCTCAGTGTCGCCCTGGGACCGGGACCGGCAACGGGATCGCAGCCCTCGGCGTTGCCCCCGCGCCTCACTCAGCCAGTGAGCGGGAACTGGTCTGTATGTGGGATCCGAACCCTCGGCGGGAGCGCCGCTGCGCTTCCCAAGCGGCGCACCATAGCAGTGCGCCACCGGGCCGGCCCGGCATTTCTTATTTAACTTTGTATCTCAAACAAAATCAAATTAAATACACAAAGCTCTATCGAGTAGGCAGTATGTATAATGTATGGGCTAATAATGCTAGGAACCAAACCGTATCTAACTTCCCATCTAAAAGCTAAAATAGTGATACTGTTAAAAGGAATTTGGATAACGTCTACATTTCAGAATGGAAAAAAAGTGCAATCTATATATACTTTATACTCTTCTTGTCTCTTAATTAGGTTTTCAAAAACAACATAGAGTTGTTTTTAGAATAAGGAACTTCATTCTCATAGTTTTTGTAGGCTGCATCTGCATTACATATTTGATTAAACACACCTTTAAATACAGTAAGCCCTTGGTACCCAAGATGTACTGCTGTAAGTTTTCTGTTGATAAACAGATTTGAGCATAATTCCAATGTCAGCATTTAAAACATGTATGCTATGTCATCAAACACCTACAGGCAAAATGAAACAATTTTTTATTCATGAGGTGATGATTATATTACACAACTTACAACAGCCAATCTCCTGAACATTTGTAATTCTTTTTCATTCTAACTGCTCTGGAAATTTCAATAAAAGAATGTAATATTAATTGTGAATACTCACTCAGTGCAGAGTCTTTTGATTGTCCCTTCTTCCTTATGGGGTACAAATTCACAGCTGGCACCTGAAGCACCTGGCTTACTCTGTGGGGCTGATGCAAGTGGGCTTTAGCTGTTTGGCCAGCTGCCCTAACAGGCACTGGAGACATTTCGGACGATTTGGCTGATTTTTTCTCACTTAAATTCTTGGTCACTAACAGGAGAAGGTAAGAAAAATGTAACACTGCACTTGTTTAGACAAGGTTATTGCCACTGGCAGTAATAAATGGTTGCCTTAAAACCAACTGTTTTTAGCACAAAAAGTAAAATAGATTCATTTTCTTAAAAGGAATTTCAGTTAAGTATTATAAAATGTCATTTTAAAAATTATTATATGATAAATTGTTAATTTTACTTCCTTGAATCCATTGACTTAATTATCTCCACCATCAATCTGCTTAAAGGTCAAGTGAACAATCTCTCACCTATACTCTTGAAATACTCTTCTCACTGTATCAATTATGCCATGTCTTAAAGCCATTCTCTATATAACAGCAGAGTGACTCTTCTAAAATGAAAATATGATCATGTCACTTTCCTTCTCCATATGCCCTACATAAACCTTCAGATGACTTTCTACTGCTGTTACGATAAGGACCCAAACCCCTAAAACAAGGCCTTATAAGGCCCTGCATGATTTAGCATGAGCCTGCCCCCTTGAACCATGTACCCTCCTCCCTCTCCCCAATCCCACACTCTATAGGTTTCTACTAACTAGCCTAAGCCAGAAAGCTCTACTCTTCTTACGTAACGCTTGCTGCATCTTTCAGATGAACTTTCTCAGAAACTTCAGGGAACTTTCCCTAATACCCACAATTCCACAGCAACTAGATCAGACTCCTGTTTGACATTCTCATGGCATCCTGTACCTTTCCTTCATAGGACTGAAAATAGTTTGGAAGAATACAATTACCTGTGTGATTGATCAATTAGTGTCTGTTCCACCCATTAGGCTGAAACTAACTTGAGAGTAAGGACTGTGCACTTTGTTTGCTACCACAGTCCTATGTGCCAATGACTAACTGAAAACAGATGCTCAACAGATATTTGTTGAATGAACAAGTGACATTATTTCAACAGTTATACACATGAATATCAGAGATATTGTATAAATCCTTGTTTAGAATATTTGAAAATGAATGTCAGAATTAAAAACTGAGAATCCTGACTTAAGAAACAAAAAGTTGCCTTATAAAATCAATACTATAGTCAAAATGAAAGAAATTCTTCCTTCAGGCTGTACTTTAAATCCTTGGTCAGTTATTCAGGGTGGTTTCAACACAGGTGCAACCTCAGTTCTTCATGATTTATTTGTTTTAAACACCAAGATAAAAGCAAAAAGAGATGTCTAACCTGTCCCAGCACAGCTATAATAATTAGCTATTATGCTTTCATTATGAAACCCTAGAGAATATTTTGGGTGATAAGAATTAGGGAACATCTCAGAAAGCCAAAACAAAGGGATTTCTGGGGACAATATACAATGGCTCATCAAGTAATTGAACCCAAGATGTTATCTTTTGGTTAGAAACACAAAATACATTTTTTCCATTTCCCTCAATACTAATGAATTCATGACTTCACTGACATTTTATTTTACAGTACAATGAAAAAAACCCCAAAAGACTACTTTAAACATAAAAAAGAGTTCACAGAGGAATGCCAATAACCATGTACATATTGATTAATTAGGAAGAACAAAATTCTATAATGTTCAGAAATCAACTATTGTTTGGGCTTGGGATAGTCAGTATTTAAAAATTTAAAGATAAATTATGCCATAGAAATCAAAGAATCTCAAACCGAATTAAAGAAATATGCATTGAATTAACTTCAAACCCAGTTTAAGAAAGAAAGGCCTACAGGTTTTCTCATTTCAAATCAGCATTAAATATGTGGCACAAGACACCATTTAGCGTCATGAGAAAAAATAGACAAGTCTGAGTTGCGTGTAGGAAGAAGGCGGCAAGAAGGTGTATATCTATGTGTGTATAAAATGCATGAAAGCATCAGATCAAAGCAGGAATAATAAACTGTGTTCCATAAGCACAAGATAATATATTGAGTTACTTGGGAAAAATAACTTTGGTAATTTAAAGCAGGGTCAGAGGGCTTTAATAAATTAAATATGTACATGGTTTTAAACTTTAAAACATGAAAAAATTTTAAAGGTTCTATATACTCATTCAGCCTTTACTTTTGACATGTACCATTTTCACATGGCTGATATCCTATACGTGGTAAGAGATTTTCTCAGCTACCTTCCAAATCCATATGTAACATTATCTTTAATGGCCGTATACCATTTCATGTATTGATAAGGAAACAAGTTTATGTAACTATTCTCTAGCAGTTTAAATTCTGAGTACTTTTTTTTCTGTAACATACATTGGAAAATCTTTGTATAAGCAGATTTTTTGGGTGCATTATCTTATTAGCATGCAATCCCAATACTGGACACCTCAAAGGTTGCTGTGAGGAGTAAATGGCAATGTTTATAAAGTGCTTAGCACAGTTGCTGACATATAGAAAGCTCTAATAATTGTTAGCTTTTTTTAACTTCTTTTCCTTCTCCAAATTTAACAGGTCTGATGTAGAAAGAATCAGAGAGAGATAAAACGTACTTCTCGCCTGTGCCAAAGTTTTACATTTGAGAAAACAGAGACCTAGGATGAAGAGAACCTCCTTCAAATGGTGATACATGAGAATCAAACTCTGCCTTCCATCCTTTAGTAGGTGTTCTTTCCTGTAGAGGTGTTCAAGATATTGTTTTGATAATAGTATTTACTGAATGGCTCCTTACCCTATATATAAAATTCACTGTCATATCTGAATTTAAAACAATCCGATATTTTGTTCTATTTTCACTTTCTTTTTTGACATACTTTTTCCATTACTATGCAAATACCATATCATTTATCAATCTTAGGTCAATCCATGATGACTATCACTTCCCCCTGTCAATTAGGAACTTAGAATTCTATTGCAATTTTTACGGGCATAATAATATTTAATCTATAATTTAACAGAAGTATTACAATAACTTTTGTTTTGTTACAACAGAGTATATTTCACTATCTTTGATTTCAGTCCTTACAACTCATGATTTCTTTGCACAGAGACAAATGCATTCTGTTGTTGCACTTAATCAAAAAAAAAATCAGTACTGAGAATAGGATCTCTTTTTTCATAGTATTATCTAGATATCAACAATATCAGAATGTGTCTGGTTTTTCTTGTTTAACCTTACTGATATGTATAAGACACCTATTATCTTTAGTGTCTTAATTAAATTTCTTATATGTTGTAGTTGGTAAATTATATTACCCATAAAATAAAATAAGGCAAAAATTTCACTTATGTTTGCTCTTCATTTAGGGATGACTGTAACAATGTTCTCAAACAGAAAGCCTCTTCTATAACATTACAATTTTTACAAGACAATTTTATAAAGCTTTTTAAAGAACTATTTATCTTTCTATTTCTTGCATAGGGTAAACATCAGGAATAGATGGGATTCAGAATTACATGATGCTCGGGGTATGTAAGTAATCTTGTGAGTGAAGTTAACAATTTTCTTGGGACCTGAGCATAATTCTGGAGAAGTAAGTTTCTATTTTGCTGGGCTCTACAGTGTTATGTAAATGAAAACTTATACTTACAGGTACCATATGCAGGCTCCCACTGCAGTGACATGGTCTGGAACTTCTCCTCATCTGTCTCCACATCCAGACTGGAAAGATACTGTTTCACTTTCCTTGCCATTTGGGCATCCTCATATAGCTTCTTGGCATTAAGCAGAGAGCTACGACGTGACCTTTTCTTGTGAGCAACTCCCTGAACATCCAGCATGTTTGAATTTGTGCTGCCTTGACTCAACGACCTGTAAGCAGATGAAGATCATGATAAAGGGCTGTAAAGATGAGAGTTAAGTTTGGCAGACTGAAGATAAAAAGATCTTGTTCTGTTAATGCTATTGCATGCTGATGTAAATGAGTTAAAAGATGAAGAGCATTAATGCAAAGTAATCTGGCACACAAGGCAATGTTCTGAATCAAGAACAAGATTTGGCAAAGTGCAGAATTCAAAAGAATATAAGATAATTACCCCTGAATGACATATTCCATTGGACCTGTGTTTGTGCCTATGCAAACCATGGCACGACTGTTACGAGAAAAAGCATTCCTCTGCTCTGGAGGCCATCCATACTTTGAAAATATGGCAAGAGCCTGGGTCAGGACGAGTCCATCCTCAGCCAGATCTCCGTACCAGGGTTCTTCAGCAAGAAAGTTTCTAAAGCAGCTTTCTTGTCTGTACTGCTTTGGGCATACTATTGCCATCACCATACCTGTCTACAACAGGCCCAGTCTGAGCATGCTGATCAATTTTACCAATAACCAGGTTTTGGTCAAAATTCAAGGAGAAAAACCAATACGTATTAGTTGAAAATAATAGCATTTATAGTCAGTTCAATATAGTCAGAGATCAGAAATGCAGTAAAACCTACTCTATTTCACTCGCATATGGAATGGCTAGGCAATATTCGGGTTCTAAAACTGGGGATCTGGGGATCTGGGATCTTACTTTTGCAATGCTTCTGAATGTGATGGAACTGCAAGCTAGGTGAAAAAAACCACAGGTCAAACAAGCTACAGCTTCACCCAACTCTACTCTTAGCAAGCAAACCTCTTTCTACAATGACTACATCTAGAATCAATGAAAAGAGCAACTGCAATGCTGTTCATCCTTCCTAACAAGGCTAGCAAACACGAGGTTCTTAGGTGATTTTTATTTTGAAGATAGCTGTCATTCCAAAATAATAAGGGTATCTATGGATTTTCTAAATTAGCCTCATATTTATATAAAAATATTCTAAATACACAAACCACAATCATACAACAATTTGTTCTTCAGTGCTCACATAACTAGTTTAAAACAGACACTAAAATCCTAACGTTTTTATTGTAAATCAAGTGAATCACAGTTGAAAAAGTATTATGGTGTTTTTTTTCCCTCCACATTTTAAGATCTTTGAAATAGGGGTGCATTCTCCCCTTGATGACAACTGTCAACTGCCATTTGTCAGGCAGAGACCGTGACTTGGTTCTTACTATTCAAACATGCAGAAACCTCAAAACTTGCAGAATGGTTTGGATAAAAATCTGATGACATTAGTGAATTACTCTTTTAACCTCTGGAGACCAAATGATTAGAAGGAGGTAGTGAATCTGACAAGTTCAACAACATTCCCAAAGCAGGTATCAAAAAGGAGGCTAGCTCTAATTATCTGCAAAGTAAGCTCAGCACCAGTAGCTTTTAGTTTTTTTTATGGCTTGTTTTAAGAAATGCTGCATTGCCAACATGCTGAATGGCTCAGAGGGCAATACCATGTGGGAAAAAAACAACAAATTCCCCAAACTAATGACTCTAAAAGGGATTCAGAAGATTCACATTCTGAATATGAAGATGTTTTATTTAGAAAGACCTAAACCAATTTACTTTGCTTATATTTTCCTTTTTATGTATGCACAAGGGTGTTATGTGGTAAAAATCTTTACCTAATTTGTAAGAGCTCTTTCAATAAGCATAAAGTAAAAATTCTTGGTGGTAGTAGGACATTGTAGTGATTTTTCTTAGTGGTACACAAAATTATGGTGCATCCAAGAGTTGGTAGTGTCTTGGATTCAATGCAGTAAAATCAAGTCCCAACATTTAGGAGCAAATTTCAATACAAGTATTTAATGCTTTTACCCTAGTTGATATCCCCCCCCACCCCAAAAAAGAAAGAAAAAGAAGACAGGGTGTCGACAAATCTAGGATAGATACAAGATTCTAATAAATAAAAACACTGTGATAAATGACAATAAAATATCTTCTAAACTACATCCAAAACAGAAAATACTTTGGTGGAAAATGAAAATACCTAATGTTTGCAAGCATCAAGCCTCATACAATGCAACTCTAAAGCAGTGATTGTGTTACCATAAGTCATTCAATCACCCCAAATACCCATTAAGATATACTGTCCAAGTGTTCTTCTTACAATAGCAATGCCAGGAATAAAATTCCATTTTCAGTAAGAAGAACCAGAAAAGACCAAGACATAAATGTATGATATAGAAGAAACACATGAGAAATACATTGAGAAGGATGAAAGAAAGTAGAAGGAAAGTCAAGTTCAGCAAGCATTAACAGAAAACAAGGCCACAAGTAAAGACAAGACAAGTAAAGAAGGTGGCTCACAAAAAAATTCTTCTTACATGTAACAGAAGTGCCTAATACTGTAGTGATTAACTACAGTCTTAAAATAACAAAATCCTTCTTATGAAATCCCTTATCCCAAGGACTATGTATTTATAAGATCTATAACATTCTATGATCCCAAATAGACACCTAGCTATGTAGAAGCAGAGACCTGAACCTACTTTAACAACAAAAGGTGGCAGTTTCCGATTCTATCACAGTTTTAAAGAGAGATAAGGAAATCTTTAATTAAAGCTGATAAAAACTTAAAATTCAATCAATGCTGGAAGTCTATGGCATTAGTGGATCTAAGGAATTAAAACCATCTTCTGGTTCAATTTAGATAAAGGCTAACTCTTTTTAGAAAATTGATGGATAATGCAACCGTTATCAACAGACCTCTCATCCATTTTTATACATTTATTTGATATATTTACTTTCATAAAGTATGGCATTTGAATAAAAGAAAGTAGTGTAGACTCTAAAATCAGACTGCCTAAGTTTGGATCCACCATTAATGAGTATAAGGCTTTGAGTAACTCTACCTTCTCCATTTGTACCACGTGAATAACAGTATCTATTCATAGAGTGGTAGGAGAATAAAATAAGATAATTCATTTAGAGTGCTTAGAGCAGGGCACATAACAAGCACACAACAAATATTCACTATCTTCACTATCACTATCATCATCATCATCATCATCATCTAACTGACTCTCCTAAACTAAAATTTAAAAAGAACTTTTAGGATGTCAATAATGAAATAGTAAAGAAAAAAAAAATAAGACTAGTTCTATCACTAGTTTCACCTTGTTAGCAAAAGGCATTTGACAGGGTTAATAGAACGCATGCTATTTTATGTGCGTGCATTAATGAAAAGGATGCAATATATGTTAAGTTTCACAACCTTCGTTCCAGTTGCATTCATCTCTACACTTACCCCAGACTCCGCCACCTCTTCTTCCTGTAAGCAAGAGCCACAAACATTGAAGCATGTGTATGAACAGGAAAGCACAGTAAAAAGACAACAGTTGAGACTCAGAGAAACTATGCAGACAGACTAGAACAGAAAAATTTTGCTAGGAAAAAACTGTGGCTAAACAGTAAGATGACTATAATGAAACGACTTTAAGGGGGGTAAGATGAGTTATGATACGTACTGAAGGCCAAAAAAACCCCACAATATTTTAAAAATATTCCTTGGACCAATTATATTTTTAATACCTAATTTGTCTAGAAGGTCATATTAATAAAAAGCTAAGAAAAAGCATTTATTTACTATAAATTTGGAATTCAAAGTTTTTCTCTTTCCCTCTTTTTCCCCTTCCCCCATCCCCCCCCTCTCTTTTAGTCCATAAATTGATTAGTTAAAATAAAAGGGGCTATTTTAACCACACTAGATAATTATATACTACCACAACAGATAATTATTTGTTTAAAGAAAGATATAACATTTCAGTACTGGCTGACAAAACTGTTTCAGGAAAAACGTAGTCCAATATAAATATGTTTATTTTCCCCCATAACTCATTCTGCTCAACCCAGGCCATTCCAACAAAACACCCAGCTTTATTAATTTCCTCATCAGTTGTTTCTCCTTTGCTCAAGTCTGAAGCATAGCTGGTACTTAATGTATTATCAACTGGTCTGTCAGGGTCACAAAAATTCATTTTGTCTTCAGGGACCATGGTGGTAACATATATGATTAAATGGAGGTCCATGTAAGACAACAGAGAGTGGTAGGACCATCGTACAAGGACATGCAACAAAAACAAAAACAAACAAACAAGCCCTCCTCCAGGTTTGCTTTGGTCCCTGGTTCTTACTGTTTTCTGCTTACACACTGTTCAGCAATGAATCTCTGATTACATATAGTGATTCTCAAGGAGCAGAAGTGGGATGGGTAGGGAAGAGAAGATCTGGCACACCCCTTCCTCCATACTTTGAGGATCTCTAAACTAGAACATCTGTCAGATCAACTACTTACAAAAACAAAAACGAAGACTCCTGAATAGTGATTTAAACAAAACAAATAAAAACAAAAACCCAGTCCTCACATACACACTGGTTCTGTGTGGTTATAAAACAAAAACAAAAACAAAAACAACCCAACATCTCCAAGTCTGGTTTTGAAAGTACCACATATTTTTGTTTCCTTACCAGAAAATTTATTTTTAAACCACAGGAATTGTGTCTGCTTCTATAAATTATTTGAATTCTAATGCCCTTATATACTGAAGCTATACACATATGCCCAAAAGAAAATAAGACCAAAAATTAAAACCATAATGGCTATTTACACCCTGAAAATTATAAGAATTACTGGGAACAATTTAACAACATAGTTTCTGTAAACTATATAATTTGAGAAAGCATTTGTTATATTTACAATAAATCTGAACAAGCATTCTTAGAAGATCAGGTTAATAAAGAACACAAATAATATTTTCCATTTTAAATAAAGATGGAGCATGATTAAATCTGCACTTTCTAAATTCTGTTAAAGTACTCAGGTACACATAAACAGCAGTATTATAACTTGAGAAAAAGAAATATTTTAGAAGAATGAAGTATTAGACAAAAATAGAACTTAAGAAATATTCAGTAAAAATAAAAAACATACAAATTAGTTAGAAACCAAGTGACAGCATTTGTCCTCTGTGATAATTTCAGTGAAAGTCTACAATTTTCTTATATTTGTTTGCTGATATTTTAATGAATAATAATACCAAACTATCCATATACTCAAAAAAGTAACATAGAAACTATGGTTCAAATCTTAGCAAATTATGTANTTCTTATATTTGTTTGCTGATATTTTAATGAATAATACCAAACTATCCATATACTCAAAAAAGTAACATAGAAACTATGGTTCAAATCTTAGCAAATTATGTACAAACTCCTTTAAGTTTCAATTTCTTCATGTGTAAAAAGGAAGGCCAATACCTCCTGTTAGGGTTATGGTAATAAATGATTACTAGAGATTGACATAGGCAAAGCACTTAGTACAGTGCACAACAAATGGTAGGTGATCAGTAAATAATAAATATTTTATTATTATTATTATATCACCCTTGATGCCACTCTGTAACACTTTTACACATTTTAATGCCGTACCTCTGTCGGAACATCATAGCTGGGTCCATGTTAGCAGAAGTCATTCGAACGACTTGACGGATTTCCTTGGCAATCATTCTTAGCTTCTCAAAGTTTACTAAACCATCTACTTTGGAGTCATTTCCTACAGAATAAAAGTAATTATTTAGGTTTCAAAATTAAAATATCTATATAAAAAGAGGAGAAGTCAAGCTGTTATTCTTGAGGGGCACAAATAAGAACCTTCTTTATCCAGTGTGACTTTTGTTTTTAAGAAACACAGATAGCTCAACACTGCCCCCAGAGAATAAGCTCCTGGGAGGAATTGTGTTCCATATGGGAGTAAGGATAACTAATAGAGGAAAGAGATAAACTGCGCACGGCTTCTAAAACAAATTTCATTATTTATTTATTTATTTTTCCTTTTTGTCTTTTTTCGTGACCGGCAACGGATCGCAACCC